TAGTGTTGAAATAAAAACCAGCAAGTGCACAATTGCAGAACAATGTCAAACAGCTCTGAATACACCAAAGTATGAGTGTTTATACCATGATAGATGAGCTGTAGTTAAGATTGGTGGAAAGCTGGATCAGGTATGCAATATCACAAATGGTGTAAGAACATCAAGTCTTGCCTCGTATCACCCACGTAGTTTAATATTGGCCTTGAATGGATCCCACGACAGGTGATGGAGAAACAGGGAGACATTACTGTGGGGAAAACATGTATTAACAAGCTTGCCTAACCAATGAGATCATGGCATCAAATATGCCAAAGGCAAGAAGAATGTATGGGAATTTCAGAACCAGTACAGCAAAAATTAATTTACATTATTTCCCTTATAGTCTTGGTAAATGCTAAATCAATAGAGGTTATATAGCACCTGGGTAATGGAGGTAGGGTACCCCAAAAATGGAAGAAACACTTTCACCATCATTCATTCAGTCACTGTGCTGCCAGAAGCATGCTGACATCATTGTTCAGATGGCCCTCCGAACTCACCCTTCTTCCGAGTGCAGGCACTGTACTTCCCACCTCCAAAACTAGTACAGCTAGCTGGTTTCCCTGAATTCCTTCATCAGTGTTACCTTGTTCGCACTCCACATGTCATTGTAATAACCACTTGTCTTCACTCTTATCTAACGTGTTCATATAAAACTGATGGATGTCCTAACCCCTAGTCTTATTATTATTACTGTTATTATTATTACCTGTATTATTATTATAGATTATTTATCTCATTCTCCATCTCCCACAAAGGCGGGGTAACCCAAAGAGTACTCTAGTTATATTAATCAGCAACAATCATACTTACTCTCATTATCTGTAATTCTCCCTATTTTACACTTACACTCACCCAAATGACTGTAAACATAAAACTCAGCTATTGCCTAATTAATCTTAAGTTAGTCATAAGTTTTTCTGAAATACTCTGCCAATATAGGAGCTCTTATGGAAACAGTGTATCATGCCAAGATAAAACCATTCCCATTACTAAATTTACTAATGGTAATACTGTTATAGCCTTGGTGAAATACAGCTGGTTTGTTGAAAGTAAAAGAATACTGTTATATGTTTTGAACTACCTCACTATTATGTATCTTATTAATGATAAACGTTTTAATTACCTAACTTTTATATCAATATTTATTAGTGAACATTAATATGTACTGTTCCATACACAAATAACCCGCACATAGAAGAGAGGAGCTTCCGACGACATTTCGGTCCGACTTGGACAATTTACAAAGTCACACTAACGAGAAGTAAAGCAGGACGAGTATATATAGGCAGGAAGTGATAATGGTAGTAGTAGTAGTGGTGGTAGTAGTAGTGGCAGAGGTGGAAGGAAGTAGTGGTGGGGAAGTAAGAAGAGGAGCCAGTCAAATACTAAGAAAGGGGAGCACTGCATGGGAGCTAGGTGCCCATAGAGGGAGAGCAAGAACACAAGAGGTGGGGGGGGGGAATAATAAAATAAATAAAGAAGTAACAGAAACACAAGGCAGAAGAAAGACAACCCAGAAGAGAAAAAGGAAAGAGGAAAGGGGAAGAGGGAGAAGAAGAAAATGGAGGAATCAGGTTAAGTCACGGGTGTTCTGAAGTTTGGAGCATTTTACAATGTAGTGGGAGAGGAAGGCATCTACAGAGACAAAGCCAGGACTAAGATTCATACAAGGAAGTTGTGTATTAGGGAGGATTCAACCAGACAGTGACTGTTAAAGTTGGAAGTAGGGAAAACAGTTTTAGCAGAAGACCAGTCAATAGGATGGCTGTGATCTCTGACGTGACAGAAAAGAGCATTGTTAGTGTCGGCAAGCCTAACACTATTTTTGTGCTCCCTAAATCTGTCAGAAAGAGATCGGCCAGTTTCTCCAAAGTATTGAAGAGGACAGGAGGAGCAAGAAATAGAGTAGACACCAGGAACATCTGTAGAGGGAGGAGAGGTATGAATGAGATTAGTGTGAAGTGTTAGTCTGGTGGAAAGTAAGCTTGATGTCTAAGGAACGGAGAGAGTTGTTGAGATTAGAAAGACAGGAAATGTATGGAAGGCAGAGGACAGAAGAGTTCCCAGGAGTAGAGAGTTTGGGAGAGAAGAAATAACGTTTAGCATGTGAGGGGGCAAAGTCAATGAAATGGGAAGGGTAGCCAAGAAGGGAAAACGAATTATGAAGAGTGGAAATTTCTGCTGGAAGGAACTGAGGATCACAGATGCGGAGGGCACGGAGAAAGAGGGAGATAAGAACACTTTTCTTGACAGGGGAAGCATGATAGGAAAAGTAGTGAATGTACATGCCACTGTGCATAGGTTTGCGGTAAATGGAAAAGGAAAAACCTGTATCTGAGCAGTGGACATGGCCATCAAGGAAAGGAAGCAAGGAATTAGATTTCCATTCAGCTTTAAACTTAATGGAAGGGGCAAGATCATTAAGAGCTTCAAGAAAAGGTTGGAAGAGACTAGAGTCATGAGGCCACAGAGCAAAGATGACATCTACTACTACTACCACTAGCACTTCCTGCCTATATATACCCGTCCTGCTTTACTTCTCATTAGTGTGACTTTGTAAATGGTCCAAGTCGGACCGAAACGTCTTTGTGAGCTCTCTTCTATGTGCGTGTTATTTGTGTATCGTTCCAGTCATGGTATTGTGCCTTTTTTGTTATTTACTGTTCCATAACCTGTGTCAATAATAGAGTAGTCAGTAAGAATTAGGATTAGTCTGCCTGAAATGCCTAGGCATGCTAGTGGCTTTCTAATTAATATTTTGTAATATGTAAACCACACATTGTAAGCTTTACAAGGAAATAAACATTTTCATTTAAATTTTTATTCAAAATTCCAATATTCTATTTAATTAAAAATATGGTATAGTACATAATGAACCTTATTATCGTCCAGAGAATGCTCTACAGAAACACATTAAACATATAAATTTAATCTAAAATCACTGGGTCATCAAATTCAAAAAGTCTTTGAAGAGTACAAAAAATATCAGATCTTTGACAATTGAAGGAAATAATGAAAGAAGGAAAGAAAGAAATTTGATTTAAAAAGTGCTCCTGACTTATAACATCATTTAGCGCTTTTGACAAAATGTTCAATAAGATAAGTGATAAAATTTGAAAGCCAAAATTATATTACAAAGAAGAAATTCATACCAAGCATTTAAAGAAAGAATTTCTTTTATCCTAGAGTTTAAAGAATGTTTTAGGATAACATCTAAGAATCATCAGAATCTCCTGTCTCGCCTAATCGCAAAAAGATTTTTTTTTTATCACGCCAGTCGTCTTCCACCAAGGCAGGGTGACCCAAAAAAGAAAGAAATACTTTCACCATCATTTACACAAAATCACTGTCTTTGCAGAAGTGCCCAGATACGACAGTTCAGACGTCACTCCAAAGAAAATATTTATATAAAATAAGGAGATGAAACTGAAGCAGCAATGTTGTGATCTATTACCACCACAGCATTATAACTACAGTTTTGTATCAGCATGATATTCACTCTTACATAACAGTTTATATATTTATGACTTCACAAATAACCACACTTTGAAGAAACTTTGTATGATTATCCTGTCACAACTGCTGTTACTTGGTTCAGGACGAATCGAATTACTGTCTAAAGTTTTCTCTCCAAAATGTGGGTTATTTGTAAAATGTACCAGCTACAGTATTTTGACTTTTCTTTACATCAATAAAAACTATATCGGTGCCAAATGAAATTAAATTATAGGTAAAAACTGCATATTTCCTTGTAGACCACCCTTACACAATGCAGGTCACACGAGTTCACTAATTAACCTACTCTTCTATTCAAATTTTTTCTCTGTTAAGAAATGCATATTCTCCACATCAGCCTTTACCGTACTGAGCTCCAGCAATTTTGCCTCCAAGAAAAAACATCAAAACATTAATAATTCAAGAATGAAGATTAAACATATAAAACTTAAAATAACAAAATAATTTAATGTGTATCAGCAAATCTTTCACTAGAAAATTTTTGGTAGAGCTCCAGCTGCTCCTTACATTTATTTGAAGTACAGCAGCTGTAAACCAACACACTAAAAGGTTATTAATAAAAACTGATATCACATCAACTGATAAGAAATGGAAAATCCATTACTTCAAAATTCATAAATTATCAGTCCAAATTCTTTCAGTTCAAGAGGTTCCATTGCAAGAAAGAACCTCTTCCTCTACAATTCAAGTATTCCTCGGGTCATTTAAGAAGAATCCAAAATAATTATACATTTCATCTGCAGAAAAACGAAGGTTCATTCCCTTTTCGTGTGACTGGTTTTGAATGTTCTACTCTTAAAGGCCAGTCTGGATGTGGGAGATCTAATTATGAGAAGACAGTCAGTATAAAATGAAATGATAAACCTACTCAATTCTCTAAATGACTCTGGAGAGAGCGAGCTGATGGATGCTGAACTAAAAACCCTCATTTTCACTTAATCCAAAATTCACTTATAATTTTACCATATTGATACCAAAAGAATATTACTGGAAGAATTTGTACAAGCAATTTCTTTACATTCTGTGACAGTTCGAATTATGCTGATGTAATGATGTAGCTTATATGTGAGGATTGAGAGTTTTACATCACATCACTGGATAATATGAGTAGCATTTAAATTTTTGAGTTCTCATAAAAGAGCCTAAGAATCATGTCCTTTAAAAGTATAAATATCATCTTTGGAGTAAATGTTACAACCTAGAAGATCACTACCATTAATAACCATTACTATAATCAAATAAAGCCTAAACTGACAAGAGGTTTGAAATAGCCTTTCTTATATGTATAGGCCATCAAACATTACTGATGATGTGTATAAATGCTTACAATTTCATGCATGCCAAGACAACTCCTTGTATGTAGATAAAGTTTAAAAGCAATTCAATATCAATATTTTCCATAAGAAAATTCAACAACCCCACAGGAAAATTACAGGCCATCCTATGAAATATTAGTTTATTCTATACCATTATTTTTTTCCAGGGTATCCAGTGAATAAAAATTAAATAGCACTGGAAATTTCACTCTTAAAAAATTTAGGATCCATTCACAACTCACAAACAGGAGATACAATACTGCAATCTTTAGTTAACATTTCAGTCTGCCCTGGACCATTATCGAATTGCAGATCTATTTCATGCACTACCATGCCTCAGAGCAGTTCATCTTCTCATAAAACTACATACACATTTTAGTGAAACACTGTCCACAATCTGCTCATTATCATGAAGGATAAAGGAAACTTAGAACAGCACAAAAAAAAAATACTGGTAGTAAAAACCCTGGTAATTCCAATAACAAATTATAAAACTCCAGTTTTCCGTACCATTATAAAGGAACAGAGATTCAGTCTGACACATTAAAAGGTATACTACTTATAGCAAAAGCCAGTGTGAACAGCTAGGCAGACTACAAAATTTAATTCATCATGTTTAATATTTAGTTAAGTCACAGTATGTTTGCAGCTTCTATCTTTGTAATTTTTTCTGTGGTGAATGTGTCTTTTTTTGATATTCTATGATTTATTTTTTATCCTATTTCACACAACTCTTTACTCCATTAGAAAAATACAATATTTATTTCAACAATTGTTTGATTCTCTTAAAAAATATGACTGCAGGCAACATGTACATCATTACCTTTGTGACTTATAAAAGCTGTTTACATGCAACATTTTACTAATGACATTTGAAAGACTCAAATAACATTATTCATTCCAGCTGAGACTATGGGGTCCCATATTTGAAAGGAAAATACATTTCTCCATCTCTACCATATACAACAAACTCTACTTGGACAGATTTTTTTCACAATACTCATGCCTTAAAAACATTCATTTATAATGAAAAATATTTACATATATATAATGAAAAATGACTGACTGACACAATAATTATTACAGTATTATGTTTTTTAGTCATAATGATTGGTATTTGTTTCCAGTTTTATTTTTTTTCAGTAATTATCCTATCTTCATGAGAACTGAGATTAATCAACTGCATATATGATTTCATTTAATGGACTAATAGAGAGTAGCGGGTGGCCTGTAATGGGGATTGTGGTGATATGAAATTTTGTTGTGACTGTAACAAAAATGGACAATTCTGTAACCAATATACTTTGCCCATTGTTAATGACTCAGTTGACTCAGAGGACTTTACTCCGTATTTCCAGTCAGTTAAATAGAGGGTTTACTTTACATATAAAAGCTAATCAGGGTCTGATATTTAGAAAAAAAATTACTGTAGCTCATTCATTCAGTGGCTGCTTTATTAGGTACATCTTTCTAGTACTGGGTAGGGCTTTCCCCCTTTGCCCCTAGAACAGCTTAAATTCTTTGTGGCATAGATTCAACAAGGTGCTGGAAAAATTCTTTAGAAATTCTGGTCCATGTTGAAGTGATAGCATCACGCAGTTGCTGCACATTTGTTAGCTGCACATACATGTATATGCTGCAAATCTCCCATTCTACCACATCCTTAAAGTTTAAGCCAAATTCTCACTCTACCATCTGCATGTCACAGTAGAAATCTCAATTCATCAGACCAGGTGACATTTTTCCAATCTTCAACTTTCCAGTTTTGGTGAACCAGTGCCCATTGTAGCTTGAGTTTCCTGTTCTTAGCTGATAGGAATGGAACCCAGTGTGGCTTTCTGCTGATGTAGCCCATCCGCTCTCAAGTTTGATGTGTTGTGTTCAGAGATGCTTTTCAGCATACCACTGTTGTAATATGTGGTTATTTGAGTTATTATTGCCTCCCTGTCACCTTAAACCAGTCTGGCCAGTCTCCTCTTATTTCTCACATTAACAAGGTGTTCTTGCCCACAGAACTGCTGCTCTTTGGAGGTTTTGTATTTTTCACACCATTCTTTGTCAATTCTAGAGACTTGTGCATAAAAATCCCAGATCAGTTTCTGATATCCAAACCACTCTGTCTGGCATCAACAATCATTCTACAGAGTCACCTAAATCACAATTCTTCCCCATTCTGATATTTGGCCTGAACAACAACTGAACCTCTTGACCATGTCTGAATGCTTTTGGGCACTGAGGTGTTGCCATGTGATTAGCTAATTAGATATTTGCTTTAATGGGCAGGTATACAGATGTACCTATAAGCAGCCACTGAGAATATATTTTAAATTACTTTTACAATAATAGATTTTTAGTACTGCATTCTGTGACTGGAACAATCCATAATCTTAAACCTTATAATGTACTGTGATGAAATATCTATACTATATATACATTAGGTATTTAAAAAAAAAAATTTTTAAATAAAATTAACCGGTTATGCTTAACTCTGTCACTTGAATAATCACAAGATAATCACATAAGCCAAGCGATAAAATTAGTTTATCAGAACTCTACGAGGTGAATCAGAAATGTTATTCTAAAATAAGAAGTGCATTAAGAGATAGTTCTTAGAAAAAACTTAAATGAGAGGTTAGTAATAGATAAAAAAAAAATTCATTACGCTAATTTAGGAAGCCATTTCTTTAAGCCAATAAAGTTCATGATAAGGCATTAGTCCCATTACCACTTGGTAGTGAGACACTACTAAGAAGAGAAGTACTGTTGAGGAGTGATGTACCAGCTAAAAGTGAAGCTCCACTTAGAAGTGATGCTCCACTTGTTAGAGCAGTACTAGATGCAAGTGAGGTACTACTGAGGAGTGAGGTACCACTTGAGAAAGATGTAGTTGAAGTTGTAGTACCACTACTTGTTGATGTGGAAATGCTTGATATTTTAGAGCTGCCTTGTGAGACTTTTGTGCTAATCTTATTATCTGAGAGATTAAGTCCTTGAGGATGGTATCCTGGGCTTGCAGACCGTGCATGCTGCACCACAGTGTAAGGGAGACGCTCAGGATGTTTCTTTTCCATGTGAGCATTGAAAGTTTCCTGACGTACAAATTCCAGATTACATGGAACACAGGTGAAAGGTTTATTAATTTTGTGTATCATCTCGTGCCGCTGCATTTTATCTTTTCGTGTAAAAGATTTACCACAATGCTGACATACAAATGGCCGCTCACCAGTATGAACAATAGCATGTCTAGTTAGTTTATCTTTTCTTGTGTATGCCTTACCACAGACCATGCAAACATAAGGACGTTCCCCAGTATGAATTCGATTGTGCACACGAAGGCCTTCTGATCGAAGAAATCCTTGACCACATGTATCACAGTGGAAAGGGAAATTGTTGGTATGTGTTCGAATGTGATTCTTCAGTTTATCACCACGAGAAAGAACTTTTCCACAAATGTTGCACACCTTCTTTGTGTCCCACCGTTCACCTGAAAAACAAACATTATTTATTATCTATAAATAATACTATTGTTTTTTTTTCAACAAGTCAGCCATCTCCCACCGAGGCAGGGTGACCCAAAAAGAAAGAAAATCCCCCAAAAGAAAATACTTTCATCATCATTCAACACTTTCACCTCACTCACACATAATCACTGTTTTTGCAGAGGTGCTCAGAATACAACAGTTTAGAAGCATATATGTATAAAGATACACAACATATCCCTCCAAACTGCTAATATCCCAAAACCCCTCCTTTAGAGTGCAGGCATTGTACTTCCCATTTCCAGGACTCAAGTCCGGCTATATAAAAATAACCGGTTTCCCTGAATCCCTTCACTAAATATTACCCTGCTCACACTCCAATAATGCTAATATAATAATAATAATAGAGGGGGTAAAGGAGGTTTTGTGTGCGAGGGGCTTGGACTTCCAGCTGGCATGCGTGAGCGTGTTTGATAGGAGTGAATGGAGACAAATGGTTTTTAATACTGACGTGCTGTTGGAGTGTGAGCAGGGTAACATTTATGAAGGGGTTCAGGGAAACCGGCAGGCCGGACTTGAGTCCTGGAGATGGGAAGTACAGTGCCTGCACTCTGAAGGAGGGGTGTTAATGTTGCAGTTTAAAAACTGTAAAGCACCCTTCTGGCAAGACAGTGATGGAGTGAATGATGGTGAAAGTTTTTCTTTTTCAGGCCACCCTGCCTTGGTGGGAATCGGCCAGTGTGATAATAAAAAAAATAATAAATAATAATAATACACCTACCATCCGACTTACGACCGAGTTCGGTTCCGAGAAACCGGTCGTAAGTCAAAATGGTCGCAAGTCGAACTTTACTGCTGAATATCAACAAAACATTTTTGTAATGACTTTATTTTATTCTATTTTGGTATTTCATGTTTTACTTTACTTTTTATGTTGTTAGTACTGTATTTTATACTGTAAGGTTTAGAATAAACACTGTGTACAACACAAATAGTTGTTTATTTCCCAGAAATTTGGCATAAAAAACACAGTCGTAAGTCGTGTGGTCGTAAGTCGAGCAGGTCGTAAGTCGGATGGTGGGTGTATATAATATAATACATATTTTTTTTTTTTCAACAAGTCGGCCGTCTCCCACCGAGGCAGGGTGACCCAAAAAAGAAAGAAAATCCCCAAAAAGAAAATACTTTCATCATTCAACACTTTCACCACACTCACACATTATCACTGTTTTTGCAGAGGTGCTCAGAATACAACAGTTTAGAAGCATACACATATAAAGATACACAACATATCCCTCCAAACTGCCAATATCCCAAACCCCTCCTTTAAAGTGCAGGCATTGTACTCCCCATTTCCAGGACTCAAGTCCGACTATATGAAAATAACCGGTTTTCCTGAATTTTTTTTTTTTTTTTTTTTTTTTTTCAACAAGTCGGCCGTCTCCCACCGAGGCAGGGTGACCCAAAAAAGAAAGAAAATCCCCAAAAAGAAAATACTTTCATCATCATTCAACACTTTCACCACACTCGCACATTATCACTGTTTTTGCAGAGGTGCTCAGAATACAACAGTCTAAAAGCATACACATATAAAGATACACAACATATTCCTCCAAACTGCCAATATCCCAAACCCCTCCTTTAAAGTGCAGGCATTGTACTTCCCATTTCCAGGACTCAAGTCCGACTATATGAAAATAACCGGTTTCCCTGAATCCCTTCACTAAACATTACCCTGCTCACACTCCAACAGATCGTCAGGTCCCAAGTACCATTCGTCTCCATTCACTCCTATCTAACACGCTCACGCACGCTTGCTGGAAGTCCAAGCCCCTTACCCACAAAACCTCCTTTACCCCCTCTCTCCAACCCTTTCGAGGACGACCCCTACCCCTCCTTCCTTCCCCTATAGATTTATATGCTTTCCATGTCATTCTACTTTGATCCATTCTCTCTAAATGACCAAACCACCTCAACAACCCCTCTTCTGCCCTCTGACTAATACTTTTATTAACTCCACACCTTCTCCTAATTTCCACACTCCGAATTTTCTGCATAATATTTACACCACACATTGCCCTTAAACAGGACATCTCCACTGCCTCCAACCGTCTCCTCGCTGCTGCATTTACCACCCAAGCTTCACACCCATATAAGAGTGTTGGTACTACTATACTTTCATACATTCCCTTCTTTGCCTCCATAGATAACGTTTTTTGACTCCACATATACCTCAACGCACCACTCACCTTTTTTCCCTCATCAATTCTATGATTAACCTCATCCTTCATAAATCCATCCGCCGACACGTCAACTCCCAAGTATCTGAAAACATTCACTTCTTCCATACTCCTCCTCCCCAATTTGATATCCAATTTTTCTTTATCTAAATCATTTGACACCCTCATCACCTTACTCTTTTCTATGTTCACTTTCAACTTTCTACCTTTACACACATTCCCAAACTCATCCACTAACCTTTGCAATTTTTCTTTAGAATCTCCCATAAGCACAGTATCATCAGCAAAAAGTAACTGTGTCAATTCCCATTTTGAATTTGATTCCCCATAATTTAATCCCACCCCTCTCCCAAACACCCTAGCATTTACTTCCTTAACAACCCCATCTATAAATATATTAAACAACCATGGTGACATTACACATCCCTGTCTAAGACCTACTTTTACCGGGAAGTAGTCTCCCTCTCTTCTACACACCCTAACCTGAGCCTCACTATCCTCATAAAAACTCTTTACAGCATTTAATAACTTACCACCTATTCCATATACTTGCAACATCTGCCACATTGCTCCTCTATCCACTCTATCATATGCCTTTTCTAAATTCATAAATGCAATAAAAACTTCCCTATCTTTATCTAAATACTGTTCACAAATATGCTTCAATGTAAACACCTGATCTACACATCCCCTACCCACTCTAAAACCTCCTTGCTCATCCGCAATCCTACATTCTGTCTTACCTCTAATTCTTTCAATTATAACCCTACCGTACACTTTTCCTGGTATACTCAGTAAGCTTATTCCTCTATAATTTTTACAGTCTCTTTTGTCCCCTTTCCCTTTATATAAAGGGATTATACATGCTCTCTGCCAATCCCTAGGTACCTTCCCCTCTTTCATACATTTATTAAACAAAAGTACCAACCACTCCAACACTATATCCCCCCCTGCTTTTAACATTTCTGTCATGATCCCATCAGTTCCAGCTGCTTTACCCCCTTTCATTTTACGTAATGCCTCACGTACCTCCCCACACTTACATTCTGCCTTCTTCACTCCTAAAAGATGGTATACCTCCCTGACCAGTGCATGAAATTACTGCCTCTGTTTCTTCCTTAACATTTAAAAGTTCCTCAAAATTCTCGCCATCTACCCAATACCTCCATCTCCCCATCTACTAACTCCCCTACTCTGTTTTTAACTGACAAATCCATATTTTCCCTAGCTTTCTTAACTTGTTTAACTCACTCCAAAATTTTTTCTTATTTTCATTAAAATTTCTTGACAGTGCCTCTCCCACTCTATCATCTGCTCTCCTTTTGCACTCTCTCACCATCTCTTTACCTTTCTTTTACTCTCCATATACTCTGCTCTTCTTATAACACTTCTGCTTTGTAAAAACCTCTCATAAGCTACCTTTTTCTCTTTTATCACACCCTTTACTTCATCATTCCACCAATCACTCCTCTTTCCTCCTGCCCCCACCCTCCTATAACCACAAACTTCTGCCCCACTTCTAATATTTGCATTTTTAAAACTATTCCAACCCTCTTCAACCCCCCCCACTACTCATCTTTGCACTAGCCCACCTTTCTGCCAATAGCCCGCTTATATCTCACCCGAACTTCCTCCTCCCTTAGTTTATACACTTTCACCTCCCTCTTACTTGTTGTTGCCACCTTCCTCTTTTCCCATCTACCTCTTACTCTAACTGTAGCTACAACTAAATAATGATCCGATATATCAGTTGCCCCTCTATAAACATGTACATCCCGGAGCCTACCCATCAACCTTTTATCCACCAATACATAATCTAATAAACTACTTTCATTATGTGCTACATCATACCTTGTATATTTATTTATCCTCTTTTTCATAAAATATGTATTACTTATTACCAAATTTCTTTCTACACATAGCTCAATTAAAGGCTCCCCATTTACATTTACCCCTGGCACCCCAAATTTACCTACTACTCCTTCCATAACATTTTACCCACTTTAGCATTGAAATCCCAACCACCATTACTCTCACACTTGATTCAAAACTCCCCACGCATTCACTCAACATTTCCCAAAATCTCTCTCTCTCCTCTACCTTCTCTCTTCTCCAGGTGCATACACGCTTATTATAACCCACTTTTCACATCCAATCTTTATTTTACTCCACATAATCCCTTTAATTAATACATTTATAGTCCTCTCTTTTCCTGCCATAGCTTATCCTTCAACATTATTGCTACTCCTTCTTTAGCTCTAAAATCTATTTGAAACCCCTGACCTAATCCCATTTATTCCTCTCCACTGAAACTCTCCCACCCCCTTCAGCTTTGTTTCACTTAAAGCCAGGACATCCAGTTTCTTCTCATTCATAACATCCACAATCATCTCTTTTTTATCATCTGCACAACATCCACGCACATTCAGACTTCCCACTTTGACAATTTTCTTCTTCTTATTCTTTTTAGTAATCTTACAGGAAAAGGGGTTACTAGCCCATTGTTCCCGGCATTTTAGTTGACTTTTACAACACGCATGGCTTACGGAGGAAAGATTCTTATTCCACTTCCCCATGGATATAAAAGGAAAATTAATAAGACCAAGAACTATTAAGATAAAATCAAAGAAAACTCAGATGAGTGTGTATAAATAAATGTGTACATGTATGTGTAGTGTGACCTAAGTGTAAGTAGAAGTAGCAAGACATGCCTGTAATCTTGCATATTTATGAGACAGACAAAAGACATCAGCAATCCTACCATC